AGGCTCTGTGTCCTGCAGGGCAGAGAGAGGACGCACTGATCACTATCATCCAAAAGCGGGGGGGGGGGGTCAACAAATCACATCATTCTGACACCAAACCACACGGGGGCCCCAGTGTGAGAGCTGTAAAGAGCTGGGTTATTGCACATATATTTATAAACTATTTTTTAAAATATAAAAATGCCATATGAATTCTCTTGAATTCTGAAATAAACATAAAGGCCCTTTGTCACCCAGGTACCCACCTGAATGAACTGATTAATTATGTCACACGATCGCGTGTCACCTCTCTGCAGGCATCGGTAACCTTAAACACCTTTTAAAGAGAAGGGCCATCTGAGCACGCGCTCTCCCCCCCCAATCAGCTCCTTGAAAGGACACGTTTTAATTTAGCTTTTCGCTTCTCGCCCAGACTGCATGTCAGCAGAGAGCGGCGCCCTTAAACGTGAGGAGGAAGCGTCTGTGTGTGAAGGTGCAAGAAACCGTCAGGCGACAGCGCGGAGGGGAAGACAGAAGCGCCGCTTTCTCTTCCGACAGAGAAGCCCGCGATCGAGCCGTATTCATGCACGCAGCCAGGCTCTGAGAATAGGGGGGCTGTAACTTGCAAACAGACCTGAATCCACCGTCCCTGCATCCACATTTAAAAATTAGCAGAAAGTTTTCCCACAGGGACTCCCACATACACGTCAGCAACAGGGAACGTGTCAGGATAAAAATGTATTATAAAAAAAAACATGCAGCGATTTCATGAGTATCATTTTGCAAGCACGTAAAATTTAACTTCCTCCATGCGCATGCCAGTAATGCTATCAGTGACAGCTAATTTACAAACTAGTGAGGGGAAGTACAGAGATGGTAAAATAATAATTGTTGTAAGCTTCACGTGACTTTGAAAGCACATTAGGTTATTTTTTTTATTTTTTTTGCAGAAAAGTGCTTTCAGGTCACTGCGGTGTAGCAACATCTTATAGCTATAGGGTCATGAGGCACCTTTAATACCGATCTGCAAATTCCCGCACTTTTACGAAACACATTGCTTCAGAACGACCGTTAATTTCACTAATTGCTTCGCTGCATATTTCCTGCATGCGGCGTACAGCTTCTGAACTGCGAAGTTGCTCAAACCTTCACAAAACACACATCAGGCGGGACCGTACACACAAATCACTAATTATATGCATATTTTCATTCCCCTAAATAAGCTCGATCATACTTCAAAGAAAGTAACTAATAAACAGTGTCGTGCGTAAACAGAAAGTAACAAAACGTTACTCACTATCTCACGCGAACAGATAGAAACACACAACAAACAGGCAAAAGTAGCACTTGCTACGGGAAATCGCTACAGTGCTGCTCCTGTTAAGATTAAGATAAGATAACACTTTATTGAACTCGGGGGGGAAATTCTTGTACATGCAGCAGCGAGGTGTGTGAAGTGCGTCCATACGGTGTAAAACAAAGCGCAGAGTGTACACATGCAAACGAAGTTTAAATACACAGTAGTAATAGAATATGGTGAAAAGGAATGCTGAGGAAATAAATACATGAAAATAAATTAACGGGAGGAGTAGGTGCAGTAAAAGGGGGGCACCAGACTCAAATCCAAACTGATGTTGCAGCACAAGTGTCCCCAGCCTGGATCCTTTACGCATCACTCCCAAAAAGCAGCACAGATATGAAACACACCGATGGTAACACAACACCTACCGTTCACAACTGCCGCTAACTTTCACCTGATCCCGCCCATAACTAATCATGCATACTCCATAGTTATTTAAATAAGTCTATAACTATCTATCACTGTACAACTGTTTCAAGCACTTTTGCACCATTTTGCACATTTGAATTAGATGCCAAACTGGAGTTCGTTGTCTGAGTAGCCTACTTGTAGCTTGTGCGACGACCATGAAGTTGAATCGATTCCAGTCTAATCTAAACTAACTGTATTCGAAAGCAGCAGTCTGAAGCCCACTGTGACGGGCCGGGCTTCGACGGCACAACGCCGCGAACCACATGCGTGGATGAGCCGGTTACCTGTGACAGCTGCCGGGGATCGGGGGCACCGAAGAGAGCCGAACTGGAGCTGAAGCTGATGGCCCCCCTCCGGCTGAGGACGTGCTTCGGGACCGGCCTGTCCAGGGGCAGCACCGGCAGCTGGTAACATACTTCCATTGAACAAAATACACGCTGGATCCAGATCAAAATTCAGCAAAAATAAAAATAATTTTAAAAATCATGGACATATAAAATAAATTAAAAAGAATAAAGTGGCGCTGGCGACCTAAGCCCCATGAAGAGACGCTGTCCTGGGGTTAGAGCGTTTCCCCGTGGAAACACGGACCCGCAGCCCGCGCCGCTCTCGTCCAGTCCCGCTTCAGTCCCGGCTGCTTATCCATGCGGCAGCGCTCACTCCCCGGCCTATAGCCGCCGAGGCCTCGCTCGTTTTTCAGTCTCTTGTAAAAAGCGCTTCCTCATTTTAAGCTGCTTTCTGGCTGTGAATCCGAACAGGAGGCGCGGCCGCCGGAGAGTGGCTCCAATCCTCCGGAGGCAGGTTGGCAGCGGCCAGGCGGCTGTCAGTCTGCGGCCGTATGACCATCGGAGGAACGGGCGCTGATTGAACCCTGCTTCACTCCGCAGACACGCACACCAAGATTCAAACCATGCAAACACACACTCTGATGCTCACACCGTGCACACACACAAACGTACACGCACACTCTGATGCGCACACACACACACACAAACATACATATGCACGCACACACACAGATATTCACACAATGCACGCAGACTGACACCGTGCGCGCGCGCACACACACACTGATGCTCAAACCATGCACACACACTTCAAGGCTCACACCGTGCACATGCACGCACTCCTCGGCTCACACCGTGCACATACACACTCCTAGGCTCACACCGTGCACATATGGCGAGGGTGCAACACACACACTGGAACAAGTTATAACACGCAATGGCGACGCGAGCCACGCTGATTTCCTATCACCAGTTCCACTCCCTAAACATACCCACTTACCACGGAGAAAGCTGTCACAGCACTCCAGTTATTGTGGTCCTATTGCTACGCGCTGCGTATTGTCACGCTAAATTTAATTGGCTTAGGCATCGTACGACGATTGTTACAGAGGTTCTGATTGGGTAGATAGAGGGCGATTCCGAGACTTGCTTATGCAGTCGTTTGGAGTCTGCACGGACCTCGGCAAGGGCTTTCCTCCACAGCGGGGTTTGCCCTGCTGCCGGGCCGCATCATTGCTAGTGATTACCTTTCCCGCATGAGTCATCCAGTTGTACTCGAGCGGTGACTCTGTTAACTGTTAGTGCTTATGTGGCACAACGTGAGCGCAGAACGCCTTCTCCATGGGAACGCCAAGCCCTTCACGTGTCTCCGCGATCAGAGGCATAATACAGACTGTAACGCCGCTACCAAGCAGCAGATGGCAAAGTGGTTGAAGAGCTGATCAGAGTGTAAACAATGTCTGTGGCTGGAATGCTGCTGGCTGTCGTACCCATGGACAGTAAAATTTTCCAGTTCTTTTTTTATAGGCTGTATTTTGAAGTAAGTTAACATCACCAGTTTGATGGCAGGTGTCTATCAGAGAAGAATTAAAAGGAAAAGTGCCAGCTGCACAGTATGAGTTCATGTATGTTGCAAACTCGCAATGCGTCTTTTCTCTTGTCCCATCATGTTCTCCTTTTGAGACACATGCATATACAGGTGAGAGTGAAGATTGGAGCACTGAATGCAGCATTAGCCATTTAGTAATTAGGAGCTAAAGGCCTTGCTGAAGGGCCTCACAGCGGCATCAGTCTGCTGGCCCAGGGATTCAAACCAGCAACCTTCCGATCACAGACACAGAATCCTGACCCACTGAGCCACCCACCCCCGCCAAAGAGCACCTGTTGTGACACAGAGGCCACCTGTGACTCTGTCACCTCCCTGACATCCCAGCCCCTCTTCCTGGCCCCAGAATTCACCCATCCTGGACAATGGCTCTCTGTCTACCCTGATCACCCTCCCCATTTGAATCAGGGTCCTTCCAGTGCTGCCTGGCTTGGTGTCGGAAGCATGACAGGCCGCGCTGTCAGCCCTGATTCCCAATTCAGTTCTTCTCCATTTACTATCGAAGCAGCCGAGGTCTTTCTCTTTGCAAACACTTCTACCCAAAGCAGCGACATCACTTCCTGTCCTCTTTGTGAAGCCAGCTCTTCACTGCAGCCACGTTGGCTATTTTGTTCAAAGCTCAAACAGGCTTTTGTTCTGTCCCTTAACAGATTAACAAGCTCTGGTTTCCTGAAGCATAATTGGCCTGATGGAAATTCATGTAGAAATGAAGCTGAGTGTACATTTGTGAAGGTGATGGAGCTAAAACACAAGTACCTTCTGTCCAATGTGCCTTACATTGATTTAAAAAAGGGGGCTGTTTCACTCATTAATTGGTAGCTCTTATTTTGCTAGAGGAAGGACTGTGTTCTTACTGTAGTGTGTAGAAATGTAACCTCCTTGGGACAATAGAGACTTTGGTTAGACAGCCTCCTGAGCAAATGTGCACTTCTTTGTTCAGCTGGCCTATTGGTGACCTGGACTGAGCTGGGCAGCAGTAAGTCTTGTCTGTTGGGGTTCCTAGTGATCGTTTGCCCTGACATGGATGGATGAATTGATGTGAGTGATATGTGACCCTGTGCATGAATGTTTTCATTTCATGTGCTCTGTTTGAGCCCCATGCACTGCTGCACGCTAATGGAATTTCTGCTTAGACGTTAACTCAGACTGCATATCTCCAAGTCATGTGACCTCAGCAGCTGACTAACTCAAACAGTAATCCTCCCGTTGTTTACAAACAGCTTTGCAAATCCAGTGGCCTGTACTACGAAGCGGGGTTACTGGTTTATCGGGGTAACTTGTCAGATTTAAGGTACCACAGTTTAAATGGACTTCATATTCGCTCAGTTACATTTTGCCCAGACTACCTTAAATCCAGCAAGTTACCCCGATATGCCAGTAACCCCGCTTCGTAATACAGGCCACAGGCTCCGTGGGTAATGTTTAAGTTTATGTCGCGTCAAGAGCTCTTGCAATTGACGAATTAAGTTATCAGCAAACTATCCACAAAGGCCGTCTGCGGACAGGCAGTTCTCGAGTAAGTGACCGGCAAACGCTTACGTAAGTCAAATTTTCCATAAGTCAGATTCACCTGCCCATATCATTCAAGGGGCGCATTTTAAATAAATGAATAGGTGAAGTGCAGATTTATTAGAGACGTATGCCGCATTTTTGTGTTAGCGTTTCCGTGAACTCTGTGTATCTCGGATATTTTTTGCGTAAGTTCGGATTTACTTAAGTTAGTTTTAAGTTGAGAGCTGCCTGTGCTTCAGTAGAAAAAACAGTATATTATTTTTTCATAAGCTGGAAAATGCCGGCTTCAGTGGTGGATGCGCTTTTCAGGTTACGGCTTTGTTCTTGCTTTCGCTGAGTGTCTGAGGTCACGTCGGGGCTGGACCCGCATGCAGCTGAATGTTTCTGCTCTCCTCTGCTTTAGTGTTATTATAATTTTTTTTTCAGTTTCATCTCACTTTTGCAAACACTACAAAGGAAACGCTCTGACGCAGGTTATTTCTGAGGAAAAGGTCGCAAGAGCAAGAGATGGGTATTCAGATTGGAGGGGTGCAGCCTGCATTAAACAGAGAGTGGAAATCTGCACACGTATTACTTTGGACTCCGGTGTTTAATTTAAACGTGCATCATGAAGATGTCATTGGGCAGTGATGTATTTATGTTTTTTTAATTATTATATATGAATTGTTTGCAAACTTCTTGAATGTAAACATCTCACACATTCTGCTCGCTTTCATTGTGACTTTGGCTTTGAAGTGGTTTGATTTCCTTTCAAGCGTAAAATCGTGCAGCGTGATTCCCCTAATAAACTATTTTCCTAACAGCGTGGTGCATGGGAAAGTATCCTTAAGACCAACAACCCCAGCCCCCCATCCTCGGGAAGTGAGTGCGTGTGTGTGAGGGCGGAGTTTGTGCCCCGGTGACCAACACAGTCATGCTTCAATGGTAGGCTACCAGTCATGCTGTAAGGATGACACACTGGTTGGTCTGGCTCTGTGTGAGTAGTGACGGGGGGTGTTTTAGTGGAGAGCAAATGGTCCAACTAGATCACATTAAAACATTAACATTAGGAAGAGCTGCTGCTTAACTGAAGCCGGTCCATAACATTCTGTCAGGCCTATTTTCGAACGTGTTCACTGTGTTATCTTGCGCCATCAAGTGTCTATATAATGTTACTACAGAAACGCAAAAAAAGTTCAGAGTTTACTGAGCATGACTAGCAGTCATTATTTTAGGTAAAGCTAATAGATATAAAAAATGTAAAAAGAATTATATAAAGATGCCTTCAGGCAGAAGCCACGACATCCTGGGGAAAATTCCAAGCAGAAAAACTAGTTCACATCGCATTGTCTGTGTTGCATGTGGCCAGAGGCACCGGAACGTGCTGGGGTTTCCATACCCCTCCGACGAAATAAGATTATCTTACATCTTTTATAAGATTATAAAAACTGTAGATCCTGCTGGCAATGTGGAACACTACTGGGAGCACTGGTCCTAAATGAAGTAAAAATGATGGAGAGCGAGAAAATTATCACAAACTCCTGTGGTTAATCAGCAAGGGTTCACACCAAAAAAAAATAATTCTAGACGAGCGCCTTAAAGCTGTCTGCAGGACTCCTGCTAGATTCTTATGCTGGGACTGATATTAAGGGTAAGTCTATGACCGCCAGGTGGCGCCATTTCCACAAAAGTGGAACATGCATATTTGTACCGTCTGCTAAGATGATTTAATGTACTGCAGGCTGAATCGTTCAATATAAACCGTTCTTACCCCTTTTTGGTATTTCTGTTTTGGTTTGTTAAAAGAGTAAACTAAACCGTTTCACTGAGTCACTATGTTTCTCAGCCTGTTGCCTATGATCAAGCGTATTTTCTGTTCCTACGAGTTTAATATTGGCAACCACCCCCTATGAAGAGACGGCGTATTCACGTGGACCCCCACCTGCTGTCTTTGCGTGCTTACCTCAGATTACGAGTACAGAAAGCTCAAGGCAAAGGGGGCTTTTCCCCTCACATTTCTGGGGGGTGTTTAGTGCAGCGGCTATGTGTGCTGTCACGCTACGTAAGCCGCACCCTGCACAAGCATCTTCCCGGGTGCCTCTTGACTGCGTTTTCGCAGTGCAACTGTATGACACCTGCACGGTGCCGCTCACGATCTACTACTGAATGTTTATGTCTCTGATGCAGAATTCCATTTTAGCCCCCGGCATTGTTTCATTTCTAATCATCCACTGCACGAGCTTCACAGTCCTGCGGACTGCATAAGCTGATTTGCACCCACCCCGAAGCTGTATGCATGGTAAAGCAGTCAGTTACACCATACAATGAAAGTCTCACCCTGCATGTTCCGTCCAGCAGAGTTGACACAGAACATAAGACACTATACAAACATGCAGTGCAGCGTAGATGCCTGTCTGCCTTACATGCTTATTTATTTTTTTCATAGCTTTCTTTATATTTCTATTTTATTTCTTTTGTCTAATTTCTGTATCTACATCTGCGCTCGTCCTCCGCATTTGAGCCAGTTGAGGTGATTCGGGCATCAATCCAGGATACCTCCTGGACGGCTCCCTGGGGAGGTGCTTCAGGCATGTCCATTCGGTGGAGACCTGGGGGCAGACCCACAACATACTGGAGAGATTATATCTCTGGGCTGGCCTGGGAACACCTTGGGATTCCCCCTGAGGAGCTGGAGGAGGTGGCTGGTGAGAGGGAGGTCTTGGCATCCCTGCTTTGAATGCTGCCCCCGCAACCCGACCCTGGACAAATGGCGGATGATGGATGGATGGATGGATGGATAGATGGCTGGACATCTATTTCACTTTTATTTTATTTATTGTTTTTTTTTATTTCTATCTTGTTTTTTTGCACTTTTATTTTGACAAAATGTTTAATCATGCACTTCATGCCACCAATTGCACTAAAAGCAAATATGTTTGTATTTTTTGCACTTGGTGAATAAGAAGATTTTGATTCATACCCCTTTGATCATGTCCAGGATGAGTGGTTGGAAGATGGTTGGATGGATGGATTGATGGCACACCATTATATGGCAGCAGAGAATATCCATCCATCCATCCATTCACAAATACTAGGCAAGATACAAGGCCAAAACTAAAGCATTGATCCCACATCAGTGTGAATGAGTTACTCGTCAGATTCGGTGAAGCCCTGGGTGGGACTGGGTCTTCTGTGTGGAGCCGTATTCGGTGAATAATCCTGCAGGTTCCCTGAGTATCTGCAGCGTCGGTCCTTCGGCCCAGATCGTCACGGCGCCTAAAAGCCGAGACGCTTCCCAGCTCCTGTCCGGCTCCTCGGAAATCAGCAGGATCCCCAATCACAGTTTTCCAGGCCGCGTCAGATACATTATGGGATGGGATTCCCAAAGCAGCCGTTTGCCAGAACGGCCCCGGGGAGCGTTACCGGTGAAACCCGAGCGAGCCCGCTTGCCGTGCCCCTCCCGTTATTGGCGGCCTCCGAAACCGGAGCCAGTGACTCAATTAATGTTTTATTCATTTAGGCTGCAGATCTGTTGCACAAAAAGGAGCAACCTGACTCCACTGACCTGCCGGCATTGGCTCGGAAAGGACTGGAACGAGGGGCTTGACTGGGAGCTGGTGGAAGACGCAGCCCGTCAGAGGGGGTTCCAGGTAAGAGTGGGGCCTGTCCGCCTGACCATCTGCAGGTGCTCTTCCGCAGTCCTCCTCCCTTCTGAGGCTTGCACTGCTGATTCCTCTGTTCCTTTGTCTGGTACCGAATCTCACTTGGCTACTTAATACTGAGATCGCCTCTGTTGATGGAAAACGAAAGAAGCCAGGATACAAAAACAAGATTGGTGTGAATGAGGTATTAGAATCTAGATGCTTCAGTACATATACATCTAATGTATTTACTGCTCTGAGCTCTATGATTATACGTATTGCTGCACATTGGTAAGTCCTATTGACTCTGTTTAGAGTTTTATTTCGTACAGAATAGTCTGTCACATTAATGTGACCCAGCTGGCACCTTCAGTTGGATGTTTGTGTCTATTGGGGGATGTGGCTGAGTGTTTAGACCAAAACCTCTAACCATGTAATGCATAATAATCCCTCACGCTAAGAAACGCTGTTAGTTTGGCCCTATCAATAATGAATAGGGCCGCTGTTAGGCTCACCGATACAGTTACCAACACCAAGGCTGTCGCACCGACGTGCTCTGACTGAAATCTAGTGGCTTTTGAGATAGGCCATCCTGCCCCGTAAAGGGGTCTTTGAAGTCTAAGGCGGTGCTTTCAATGCAAAAGCCGCACGTCTGGCCACATTCCCCACTAAGGCCCGAGGGACGCGCTGCCTTATTCGTCTCGGACGCGTGCTGGCAGTGTTCTGATAACATGCTCATTGTCTGCGTGTGATTTTGCAGTTAATTGTCATACGCCATGTCTGAGCAAAGACAGCGTGCCCTGTCCACTTCAGGAGAAGCCCTCTATCAGATCCTGGGCCTGGAAAAAGGCTGCACCTATGAAGACATCAAGAAGTCCTACAGGTGGGTGTCCTCAGCTACTTTTTGTTTGACTTATTCTGAATATTTTTGCAGTATATAAGGAAGTTGGACTGGAGTGTGAATAAATTGACCTGCTTGTTAAGAGAGTCATATATATATGTGAGTCATATATATCTGCTTATCACCACACAGCATGACTGTAACACGACCAAAACGTCTGTGTTACTTCCGGCTGCTGCTATCGTTGTTGTTTTCGCCCAAACTTCCACCATGAGTCCATGACGGCCTAGTAAGCACGTCCCCATGGAAACACAGTATTACTCCTTGGATTCCCTGGTTATGACAGCAGTCCAGGAGCCCAGGAGACCAGCCGTCGTACAGACCAACCAGTTTTAGACGGTGCGACACGGGCTGTGTTTTTTGTGACGGCCATCTTCAGATGCATCAATTTCACTACCAAACGCAGAATCGAGTGAGAGGTTGCGTGATTCTTAACCTGCCTAACATGCCATTGTTTGGATTTTCAAGTGCCATCTTTAAATCGCCTTTAGTGTATAGTCGTGTGTGTGCCCTGCAGTGGCCTGGCATCCCATCCAGGCTGCACCTCCGCCTTGTGAGCAGATGCTTTTATTTAATGTGACAAACATTGTTTTGAGGAAGCAGGGTCAGCCCCCACAGGGTCAGCCCCCGCTATTAGGGGCCTTGCTCAGCGGCCCAAAGGTGACATCACTTTGCCAACCCAGAGAGTTGACCTTGCAAGCCCAGGCACACCATCCTGCAGAGCAACACAGCACCCTCATCATCTTTATCAGTTCAAGGAAAAAATCGACCAACGCTCTCCGTTCCTTCGAGCCGGATTCGAACCAGCGACCTAAGGATCACAGCACAGCCTCTACAGTCCTCCGCTCTACCAACTGAGCTATCGAAGGGTGGTGTGGTGTCCAGCAGACAGTTGTGGTGAGGTGTGCTGAGCCTGGATCCTTTCTCAGCAAGCACCCTGCCAAGCCATCACTGGGCACTCTCACTGCAGGAGGAGACATGCACACCATGGGGTGAACATGCAGACCATGAACACCAGGTGGCGCTGGAAAGCCATGGCCATAAAGGTGTGAGGCAATAATGGAAACCAGTGACCCACACTGACATAATCTGTTTATCGCAAATAACTGCATTTATATCCAAAAACAACTGCTTTAAATGACTTATAATGATGATGATGATGTTGCGATTTGGTGGCCTTACATCTTCGGCTTCCTCCCCCACTGTTGTCCATGGTTTCTCTCCTGATTCTCCATGGGGTCCTCATTGGGATGCCATTAGCTCTTTGAAGGAGGGGTTTAACCACCAAAGAGTGGCCGCAGACACAGGGTGAGAGGGGCTCTCCCATCTTCAGAGGCCGTTTTCCACTCAGCTGTGTAAGCGGGAGGTGCTAATTGGGTCCCTGGGCCCTCAGAGCCACAGCCAATCCCAAGCTGACTGCCCGTCCAATCGGCCAGAGCCAGCAGTTGAGACATTAGCTGGATGGGACCCACAGCCAAGAGCAGAGTTCAAAGGGAATCTTTAGCCTTGATTGTAAGATGGCTGTCAGATGGCTTTTCTTCTGGAGGGGGGAGTGACAGCTACCTATGTCATGTTGTTCTCCCCTGTCCTTCTGGATCAAGTGCGGCATTGCGAATGACACATTAAATGTGTGTTTGCTGCATCACTGTTTGCCAAACTCTGCACTAAACCAAGGTACCAACTTCAAAACATTGAACTACAGTGTCTGTAGAGGTCAGACCCCAGCCTAACTGCTATGTAACAGACCTAATTAAATTAATTGAAATTAATACATGAAGGAAAAGGAAATTAAGAACGAGGTCCAGGACGTTTTTGGAAGTTCTATTGCTTGCATTAAGAAGGCCAGCTTTCTCTTCCAGGAAACTGGCTCTGAAATATCACCCGGACAAGAATCCCGACAATCCAGAGGCCGCGGACAAGTTTAAGGAGCTGAACAATGCTCACTCCGTGCTGTCAGACGTCACTAAAAAGAACATCTACGACAAATATGGCTCCCTGGGTCTGTATGTGGCGCAGCAGTTTGGAGAGGAGAACGTCAACACCTACTTCATGCTCTCAAGCTGGTGGGCCAAGGTGATAAGCCGGCTCCGCGACCCTTAACACTGACATGACATTACATCCGTGGGTTTGGTCTTTGGCCAGTGCGAGTCTGTGATTGTTAACTGTAATCATAAATCTGTAAATTGTTTATTGAATCATATTTAAGCAGGAGTATAGCACTCAACCTGTCACAAACCACCAAAATTACTTGTCTTACAAATTATGAATAAGCTACTAAATTTTCAGATGTAGAGATTTTGATGAAATTGATGTAAAACATGCTGCTGGTCGAAGCCCATAGGGGCGTCATAGTGGACCCTGCCCCCCCCCCAGACAAGCTTCACTGCTGGGGCCCCCTGTCTGAGACAAAGTGAAATTGGCTTGCTAAGTCAGCGCCCCCACAGTAGATGGTGCCATAGGCGGCTGCCTATATTACCTAATGGGTTGAGAGGCACTGAGTCCCTCAATGACCATTCATTCCCTCATTAAACCAAAAATGCATCTGAGCAGTACTGGCAGAGTGCCCCCCAGCAGCGGACTGACAGCGTGGACCTGTGTCCCTGTGCGTCTGCAGGGTCTCTTCGCCATCTGCGGCCTGCTGACGGGCTGCTACTTCTGCTGCTGCCTGTGCTGCTGCTGCAATTGCTGCTGCGGGAAATGCAAGCCCCGGGTTCCGGGGGAGGAAGACCAGCAAGAGTGCTACGCGTCCCCGGAGGACCTGGAGGAACAGATCCGTACCGACATGGAAAGGGGTAAGTGGGACCGGCACGCACGAGGTAAGGTGACCTGTGGGAAGCAGAATCTGCTGGAAGGGTTCGGCGCTGAGGCACGGCATTCTGGGATTGGGGGGCCCCTTCAGGGGTTCTCCTAGCCGACGCCGTCCAGTAGCACCACAGCTCCAGCTTGTTGCCTTTAACTGGTCAATCCCCTTCAGGAAGAGCGTCTATAGAAAGAGCAAAGGGACAGAGGGCACAGAGAACATAAGCTGTGTCCAAATTCTGGAGCTGAATCCATCAAAGGACGCAACCTTTGAAGAGATGCGTTCTTCGTAGGTTGAATGGAAAGCACTGTCAAATCATCAGCTGTTCCCGCCTTTACTCTTGAGCCACGAAGCGCACCTCCTATCGTCTAGCCAGGACACACCTACTTTACCTCTGCGCAATGAATCTTGAGATATCTTGGGCTATGAAGGGTCCATCGGGTGGACGCATTTCCAGATCGCATTTTACGGAGGCTTCCAAAGAGGACAGCCTTGTCATGCCACTATGGCTTAAAACAAGGCCTCAAGTTATGACAGCTAATTATATATTTCGATTTATTTTCATATAGCATCCTTCATAACAGTCACACCAAGGCACTTGATAAGAGTGTGTGGCAATCCATTACTATATAATTTATACAAAATGGGGCATGAAACAGGGAAGTGGAGGAGAGGAACCAAAAAGTAGGAGGTCTGTGGTCAACTAGCTGAACCTCCCCCCAGCATGCTGACGTTATAGATTTTGTATATCATACACATGACCCAATGTGTTAATCTTAGATAAATACAGTGGCTAATTAACAAAAACAATAACCATTATATATTAGCCTTTTCCTTTGTGACACTGTGTGTATTTTTTCCTCGTCTGCATTAATCTCCACAAACCACTAATTACCGTGGGTGTGAGTCATTTCCCAAAACGTGTCTTCGTGCAGGTTATTTTTGGTCAGTGCGGCAAGCGGTGCCTTTCATGTCCTCAGAACTGACGAGGTTCTGCTTGAGGAAAACGGCACCCCTCTCCTTCACAACTCTGCCTATGATTAATTCCAAGAGCAGATGTGAAAAGAGATGTTTGCAGCAGCAAATGTAAAAATGCCCAGAAGAGTGTACACCACGTCAGAAAAGTCCTCCACCCTCACACATTAATAATAGAACGAGTCATGAGATACGGTCTGCTAACGAAGTCAAGCACGCGCTCGCACTGCTGCGTTTATCGTGGAATTCACACACAGTTGCCTCCTAAACAGTAGAGCTCCAGGTTAGTGGTGAAAAACCAGACACACCAAGTTCAGCACATCTGCATCTGGATGTGTATTATAAATGCAGGATGTGTATTACCTTTAATCCTCTCTGTCTCCCAGTAAGACAAGTCAGTTTTGATGGGTCTGTTGTTGACACTGACCTGATGTTGTGCTGGAATAAGCTAAGGCCTCCAGCTTCTTTACATGGTTGTTGGTTCTAATATTTAGAAGCAGAGATTTAGATATTATTGAATGTTTTCACACACAAACATTCGCACAGCTCAGAAGGACAGAAGTGTCGTAGAAAACCAGACAGGAAGGAATGCGATTATGTGCAATTAATGTTCTCATGATGATCAGACTCCTGGATACCTTACGCCAGGGGTCTCAAAGTTAAATATCCTGGGGACCACTGGCGAGGAGATCTTCTCCTGAAAGGGTCACTCGCAGGGCTGCCAGCTGTCACGCATCTGCGGTGACACTCACGCTTTCAGACTCTCACGCACACGCAAGAAATCATACAGCAATAATTCTATATTATTCCATTATAAACCTAAAATCAGCTACAACAAAATGTTTGGGTATATTGCAAACCCTACAGACTATTAATACATTACTCTTACGTACACATAAATGTGTGTGCAGACTTGTCTCGAATGGAAAATCTCATGCCAGTGAGCTGACCAAAGTTGTCAAGCCCGCACTAGAGATTTTTTTTTTCTTTTTGAGCTGAAAAAGAAATAGGAGAATAAAAGAGAATGAAAAACAATGTAAGGTCTATATTCCAAAAATCGGTGCAGGGCGAGTGGATGTGAGTGGAGAAGTTTGAATACCTGTAGACCTCACAGTGATCAGCCCCCATCTTCTTAAATTTGTGTTAAATTTGAGTTTGCAACTTGTGAATTTAACTGTAATATGCCTGAATAGAAACGAGACACGTTGTTAAATATCACTCTGTCCAGGACAAGATGGGTCAACATTTTATTATTATTATTGTTGTTGTTGTCTTATCAAGCTGAATCAAGCCTGGAAACACTATTTTCAGATGGCGATACGCCCATTGTGATGCAGCCAACGAACGCGAGTGAGAAGACCCAGCTGATCGGTGACGGACACCGGACCTACACCTGAGAGGGCGTGGCCACGGGGAGGCGATCTTTGTAAATAGGGACGCGTGTGTGACATCATGCGGTGACGTTTGGCTGTATTTTCACGTTTCTTCTGGTTGCCTAGAGGTATTTTGTTGTGACTTAGCATTAAAACATAACGACTGGAAAACGAACTTTATAAGAGAATATAAAGAGTAAAGTCTGTTATCTGATGTATCAAGACAAATAAAAGCATTTTTGAAGATTTATTGATGCATGGTGTTTGCCAGTTATATTTTTGTATATGATTATTTATCGCATACAATTCAAAGTTATAATAATATCTTAAAAACATAGAATATCTTAAAAATATAGAAGGTGTATGCTAAATTCTCAAATACCATATTAAATGTACACTTCATTAACTATAAGGAAGCTATTAAGATATTATAAATGCTAAATCAAATAAAGTGAATTCCTATCGGACAGTATTCATGTACCGGCTTTTAACATTGTAAACTTTTAGGAAACCCATATGAGCTTAATTATTGTGATCATTAAATGTTGCTTTATGAGTTCTAGTATTCTTGGCTTGTGTCTGCGTTTATGGCTTCGCCGAAGTGTTTTTCTGAAGTTAATCTCATGAGTAGAATACCTATAGGCAGCTCTCAGTAAAACAGAGATCAGGAAAGACGCACAGGTACTTACTATTAATCTCACTACGCTGAGTTTTCTACAAAGCTGAGATTGTCATCCGTAGCTGCCTCGGGTTTTTCTGATAGTATAAATCTTCTCAGTCACACTGGCGTTAAAATGCACCGTTGTTGACAAAATACACATTTTCCTTCGAGCCGGATTCGAACCAGCGACCTAAGGATCACAGTACAGCCTCTACAGTCCTCCGCTCTACCAACTGAGCTATCGAAGGTAGAACGGCTATAAAATTTACACCACGGCCTGAATATAAGCAATTAAGAAATGTAAGAAGAGATATATTTTTAAGTATTTAGTCTTTAGGAAGCTCTTAAAGCCGAAATAAGAAGTACAGATGTACATACATTGTTATTAATATTATGTGAACAACCGTTAGGCTGCTAATTTCATATTCTATAAATGTATAAACACAAACAAAATGTATAAGGTATGTTTTCTGATTACTTGAGCCGGCGTTTGAAAAATCATTTGCCGCACAATTAAAGGGATTTGTTAAAAAAAAAAAACCCTGCCCTTGCTTTGGGCAACTGGCGCAGAAATCGGAGCATATGGTAAAGTGCTTGGTTAGTTTGCGAGAGGTAACGGGATCGATGCCCGTATTTTCTACTTTTTTGGCTGCCTGGGCTCGCTAACTCGCCGGGAAATCGATACACTGAGGGAGATATATTATTGAGGGAGATACAGTAGTCCCCCCCATCTCAGCTCCTGGGGCGACGTGTCTCCCCGCCCCCCCTAAACTGACGCCTATGCCCCTTCCTAAGAATTCGATATTAAAATATTTGAATATAGGCCTGCTAGTTGTATATATGTGCTTAAACATGCGTTATTATTAATACATGTATGGACAAAGAAAGAGTCTAGAATTATTCAAAGCAAAGTTTCCTCATGTGGGGAATTAGCTCAAATGGTAGAGTGCTCGCTTAGCATGCGAGAGGTAGCGGGATCGATGCCCGTATTCTCCAACCCTTTAACCTCCTGGGTGAGCCAGCGGAACCCAATGAAGCAGCTTTATGTCCAAATCATGCTCAAACTTCTTACCAATCGGCTCACTGTCTTCCTTCCATTTCTAACCCACCAGGCAAAGGTCCTTCTTCCATGTCTTACCGCGCCAATAAAATTACTAGATCCCTTACTGTTTCCAGGTGATTACTTGGTATCTTTAATTTATGTGATTTGGCCGACCTAGTTAATATTACTGCTTATTGATGTTAATAATTTACTACGCCACGTTGCTTTAAAGAAAAATAGAAAATAGCTTTAAGTAGCTTGCTAATTTGAACAAATTTTCGGCTAGCCTGTGGGTTTATTTAGAGAATGTTAATAAACTTAACGTTAAGTATATCCCATTAAGCATCCAGCTTAGTATTATACCCATTGGTGCCAGACATATTGCAGTAACGAAGCTGAATAACTGTTCTTCTATTAATAACCCTTATTAGAACTCAGCACTAGTATAACGAGCACCGACACTTGCTCATACAACGATAGGTGAGAAAGACCACCTCTGCCAAAGACTTGTGTCAAATTAAGGTAGTCTATATTGTTTTGTTTTTTTCTTTTTAAATAACATTAGCACTGATAGTCGTGTATGTAGTTTACTTTTAGCTTGTCACTGTTCATTAATTTACAAGACTGCATTTAAAAAGCACCGTGTTATGGGGCATGAAGAGTGGTTTGCCAGGCCGAGGAAGTGTGCTTCCACTGGAGTTTGGCCTTCTGAAACAGCAAACAGGCCAGCCTCCCTCTCCCCTTCCGAGGAAAATGCATGATCTCTATCAAAAAGTATCATTACTTCATTCTTTATGTCTTTATATTTACTGAACATATTGCATGCTGGGAGATACAGTAGTTATCTATTATTAAATATAGTTTTAGATAGTGAAGTTTCCGGTTCAGTTGAGAGAGCAGGCCACACTCTTTATGATCGTCGGAGCTGTGTGTGTGGATTTCACCTTGAAAAGGTAATATGTGATAGCAGACAGTCATTAAACCACTTTGTGATTCATGTGAGGGATTTGTTTTCTATTTATTTGTGAAGTGGAAGAGCAGCAGAACACCAGCAGCTGCTGTAGCTGGACTGGCACTGGCACGTCGGTCTTTCTGCTGCCCCCCAGTTCCACTGCAGCCGGCCATCATTCCCAACCCCCACTGGAGTGTTTTTGTTCCAACCTTATTCAGGGTCAGATGGTCCTTAGTAAGCTAATAATGAATGTGGCAGGTTGAAAGCAGTGTGGGCTGGAATGAAAACATTCCGGCAGGTGGGCACCAGGAACAGGATTGAGAACCACTGCACCAGTGTAACACTGTTCTGCCACTGTATCATCCTTAAGGTTACAAAATCTGGCTTTGGGGGGACACACTGTGGTTCTGCAAAGCCCAACCTTAATGTAGCACGGAAGTCTCGTGCTGAGGCAAAAAATGTAAATGCTTGTGACAGGTTATACATTCTACAGAGTATGGTATTTTGCTTGGCTATTGCATCAGCAACAGTATGAAATTATACATTACTGTCTTCTGTCATTCCCCCACTATTCCTACCTCAGCTGGTGCCGTACCTGGTTCTATCTGATTGGCCAGCAAACGGTACAGCACTCACTTAGTATGCAAGAGGTAGCCGGATTGATGCCTGTGTTCTCCAAGCCTTTAGCCGCCTGAGAGTCGATAATTCACCTGCCGTCCGAGGGGTGGCGCCCTCATCCATCCTAAAATTCTCGCATTAACATGCAGGCATAGTTACCTGCAGAAGCAGCTTCATCGGACCTCAACAGTTCGATGTCCATGGATCTCTATTGTAATACAGGCAGCAATGACATTTATTACAGCTAATCAGCCTTATTGATTATTGTTTAAGACAGTGATAACGATGGATATGGATCCTGATATGCTAAAACAGCAGCAATAATACACATGAAAATTAATAAAAATTAGTATTATAGGTTGCTTTCATTGCTTTCATTGGATGATATTATAATATTGATGTTAATAAGTGACTATATATCCATCAGCGGGATTTTGGGCTTTAAATATTGCCGGTTGACACTGTGACGAATGTGTGGATCTTGCAGGCGTCCACCTGAGGAGGGAGAGGCCAGCGGCCCACTCCTCATTTTCATGTTAGCATAGCAACTCTTGACGTTATGGATTCTAAAAGCAGTGCTGACAGTCTGCCGCTCGCCGCGCAGACGGTAATGCAGACCGTGATGGGCAATCCTGCGGACATCGCCGTTTCCTCCGGGAATGAAACCATCTCCGTGTGGCTGCAAAGACATTTTCAATAAACTACGTAAAAGTTGCCATCGTGCCATGAGCAGCCGGTCAGTATCCAAATGCTAGGAAGAGAAGAACATAGATGACTTGGTGAAGCAGCTGATTTGCCAGATCTGTTTTGAGATGTTTACCAAAGGTGCTGACAATCTGCATGACATGCACAATCTCTTCTAAAGGTGCGATATAATCTTTTTCTGATAGGTGTCATTTCAGTGGGAAATTTGAATACGTGTGAATGTGGTTTGGAGTAACACAACTTTTTCTGGGATTTCTCATATAAAACATCAATGGCTTCCTGTATGAATTTCCACTGTCCCAGGAACTTAGATGGCAGTAGGTACATGTTCTGGTCACCTGTTAACGTTGCCAGTTTTATCAGATGTTGTTGTTGTTGTTGCTGATCCAAACTTATTCTGTGTAGGCTTCTAATCCATATTTGCCACAGATGGGTACTGTGGACTCCATGGGGCACTGAAGGTGGCCTTCTTGCCAGCGTCAGGTAGCACTCAATCTTCATGGCGCTTAGGAAACCTTCTGAGGGACATACACATGCAGGAGAACAGCCAGTGAGATGGGAGCTATCAGGCGACACCGTATTTATACAAAGAGCACAAATTCACATGCAGCTTTGCTGCCTCGCATGACCAGAAGCTGAGAAGCTGAACATACATAACTGGTCCTCGTGGCCCTGAGGAGTAGAGGCTGTCTTTGGCAGAGGTGGACAGTTCAGGGCCAGAAAGTACAAAATCCAGACCAAGTTTTCGTTTGAACCAACCAGTTGAGTACTCTGTGACTGTGATTCTTTAAACTCAACTGGTTGGTTGAAATAATACCTTGGTCTGGAGTTCTACTTTCTGGACCTGAACTTTCCACCTCTGGTCTTTGGCCTTATAGCTGAGCATGGACCCTGCCCCAGAAAGCATGCTCCTGCATTGGTTGGAAGCCGTTTCTAAGAAAGATGACTTCATTAGTTAGCTGCTGGACTGGGCAGGTGGATCCTGCTGAGATCATCCATTACATCGTTTGAGCTCTAAATGCAGCCTCTATCTCCTAAAAGATCTCTATCAGCTTGGTGGTGGGAGATCTTCATGGGCCATCCTAGACCCACCTGCAGTCACGCCTCACCTATACCCCGAAACTAGCCTCTCACAGACCAACACCCGTCATCAATAAGGCACAATTGCTGGGAGAGATGTTCCGAATTATAAAATCTGGACATATCCCTTGAATAATTCAGATTTTTATGTCACCGATGCTGATCCAGACACTACACATTGCAGAGATAATA